AATAAAAGTAGTATTTTTAAATGTCAGTACTTTTAAATGTTTAATGTATAAGTATGTTCTAATTAGTCTCCAGTGGTAACTGATTGTCGCCTGAGGATTCTAGAAGGACTCTGTATTAGTGGTTAGGTGAGGTACCACTTCTAGGGTAGCAACTTTCTGAAATATGACTTTCACAGATAAATTGTGAGATATCTGTTGGTTTGCAGTGTTGAATCAGGAAGGTCTTAACTCTCCAGCGATTCTTTGTACACTGTACAGCCAGCCTTTACTTTACTGTCTTACCAGATATACATTGGGGCCATCATTCCCCTGGGAGCTGCTGAGAAAGATGGCCGGCTCCGTGCTGCAGATGAGCTGATGTGCATTGATGGGATTCCTGTCAGAGGGAAGTCACACAAACAGGTCTTGGACCTCATGACCACCGCAGCACGGAATGGCCATGTGCTACTGACTGTCAGAAGAAAGATCTTCTGTGAAGGTGTGTAAGCCTCTTACTGCTCGGAAAAGTTAAAAGGAGACATGTCATCTTCTCTGTCATCTTGCAGGACTCTTTTCCATGTTCAATACACTATAACCTGGGTATGATGGTGCCTGTAATCCGAGCTCTTGGGAGGTTGAGGCAGGAGGATGGAAAATTCCAGGCCATTCTGGAGACCTTAACTCAAATTTCTATAAAAGATAATTTATATGATCCAGGATCCTATTATGGGAGGCCATGTAAAGTAATAGTAGTATTAACAAGAAGAAACTTTAAATCTCGACATTAAGATTATACTAATTAATAAATTTTACCACTGTAGAATTATAGATGAAATCTGTGTTTCAAAAAAGAATGCAGTTCTTTGATTAGAACAACGTACTCCCCTGTCTGGGTAATGGAGGACTTTGGGTCCTGGTGAAACCCCAGACTGACCCTCAAGGATAGGTTACCACCTAAGTGCTTGCCCTGTCTTCTTTAGTCCTCACACATATTCCCATGAAGCACTGCGATGACCTAGGTCTATGTGGTTGTACAGTGACTCAGAAGGCTCAGAGACACATGGCTTGTCAATACTAGGGCCAACATTAAGACACAGTATTTGCTTGCAGAGTCCAGTGTCTAAACCATGACACAAGAATATGGACACTTGTGTCTGCTTGCCTAGCTACTCTGTAGTCCCAGCTCTTAGAAGATTCCCTGCCTGCAAGATGGAGATTGGTAAATGTCTGATCCTTGATGGATATGGGCATCGCTCTTTTCCTTTGCAGGTGTTCCAGGGCCTCACGTGCTACGCACATGTTCTTTTACTGGGCTACATCTCCAGCCCGTTGGCATCACTCTTTTTTATTTGTTGAGATAAAAACATGCATTCTGCTTTTATAAAATGAGTTAAGCTAGGCACCAAGGGCTTATATCTGTAATCCTGGCAATTTAGGAGACTGAAATCTGAGGATCATGGTTCAAAGCCAGCCCAGGCAGGAAAATCCATGAGAATTTAATACCTAATTAACCATTAAAACAAAAAACTGGAAGTGGAACTGTGACTTAACTGGTAGAGCACTAGCCTTGAGGAGAAAAGGCTCAGGGTCAGTGCCCAGGCCCTGAGAATCTACACCAAGCAAGTCTGCTGTTCACCAACAGTGAGGGAAAGAAAAGTGAGACCTGCTCATGATAAACTCGCATGAAAGCTGTATGGCAAAGCATATGGTATGACTGGGAAGGTGGCTCAGTGGTAGAATGCTTATCTCGCATACATGAGACCCTGGGTTCCATTCCTCAGTACCACATACACAGAAAAAGCTGGAAACAATGCTGACGCTCAAGTGGTAGAGTGCTAGCCTTGGGCAAAAGAAGCTCAGGAACAGTGCCCAGGCCCTGAGTTCAAGCCCCAGACCTGGCAGAAATAAAAATAAAATAGTAAAATAAAAAGCACATGTCAGGACAAATCCTGTGAGACAGAGAGCAGTTCAAATGGCAGCCTCTGGCACTTCGAACTCTCAGACATCAGTGAACACCACTCCCTGAACTAAGTTATATTCAGTTAATTTAAAAGGACATTTACATTATCTACTTCTGTTAAAATTACTGTCAGGAGTCATAAACCTTGACACACCAAGCAGTTCCTGGAAGAATTTTTTTTTTTTTAACAGTCATGGTTCTTGAACTCTGGGCCTGGGCACTGTCCCTGCGCTCTTCAGCTCAAGGCAAGCTCTCTACCACTTGACCCACAGCACCACTTCCGTTTTTCTGGTGGTTTATTGGAGATAAGAGTCTCACGGACTTTCTTGCCTAGGCTGGCTTTGAACCTTGATCCTCATATCTCAGCCTCCTTAGTAGCTAGGATTACAGGCGTGAGCCATTGGTGCCTGGCTTCCTGGAAGAATTTTTATAATCAAATCTCACTGAAGCTTTTAGAAACTTTAGTTTTCCAACTGTTGGAAGTTGTATGGACTGCAAGCTGATTGTATCTGCACTCAGATCACACTTGAATCTCACTTAGGAGCTGCTGTTCAGTTCTTCATGTTATGAAGGACTGAATTTTCTTTGAGAGGCTTAACACAAAAGCACTTACTTAACAACAAAAAAAATCATGGTTTTCCAAAATACTAATACTGGTTACGTCGATTATAGAGACACAGCCTGAGGATGACGTCCCCAAAGCCTTCCCTTCATCGCAGAACGGATCTCCCCATCTGAACCGAGCAGAGCTCCCAGCGAGGTCTGCTCCCCAGGAGGCTTATGATGTTGTCTTACAACGAAAAGAGAATGAAGGATTTGGCTTCGTCATCCTCACCTCCAAAAACAAGCCACCTCCTGGAGGTAAGGACTGCAGATGTCTATACTGTGCAAGGCCACTGTCAGAGCCTGCCGCTGGAGCATATGAAGCTCATTAGGAATTACACACGTGTGAAGACTGTCTTAGAGATTTGCCTTTTTTTTTGGGGGGGGGGGTGTCCGGTCGTGGGGCCTGAACTCTGGGCCTGGGCGCTGTCCCTCAGCTCTTCAGCTCAAGGCTAGCGCTCTACCACTTGAGCCACAGTGCCACTTCCGGCTTTTTTTTTCTGCTTATGTGGTGCTGAGGAATCGAACCCAGGGCCTCATGCATGCAAGGCAAGTGCTCTACCATTGAGCCACCTTCCCATCCCAGAGACTTGCCTTTTTAAGAATAAGTCGTACTGCATTATTTTTCAGAATCAGATGATCTAAGCCCAGCCTTCAGGCTTCAGGCTTATCTATTCATAAAATAAGTCTTCAGTAGCTCATTTTACATCAAATTATACTAGGGCTGGTGACAGTGATTCAAGCCTGTAATCCTAGCTGCTCGCGAGGCGGAAGTCTGAGGGAACAGTTCAAAGCCAGCTCAGGAAGGAAAGTCCATTATACTCTTACTATTAACTGCAAAAAAGCCCAAAATGACATTGTCACTCAAATGGTAGAGCGCTAGCCTTGAGCAAAAGTGTTCAGGGACAGAGGTATCCATGCAGTGAGTTCAAGCCCCAGAACCGCACACACACAAAAAAACACTATACTGGGAAATGGATCAGGGAAGGACTGAATTTTTTTCAAGTCCTTTTTCAACTTGGAGAATAGGTTTTTTGTTTTTATGAGAGAAATAATGGCTCTACAAATGAATTAAATACTAAAAGCAATTGAGAAGAAGTAAAATTGATTAATAGAAAAGCTAAACTCAAGTATGTTATTTAATAACAATTGCTTTAAAATGATAAGAAATTTTCCTACTTTGCATATATCTTTCATTGATGGGTAAAAGTTTTGTTAGAACCTTCAAAAATTAAATTAATCTTAACAAAATATTTGCATCTGAAAAGGCTGAACATATGTGTGTACGTACATAAGCAGCACATAAGAGTGGAGGAAATATACATAGTTCAGAGTTTAGAGTTTAAGGTTTCGGCAAACTAATACCTTATCATGATTCTTCTAAGAAAGAAAATCTTTACATATTTATGAGACATTGGTATTTGTGTATTATGCTCATCTAGTACCTTTATTTTTTTAGGTCAGATGATTAAAAAGAAAATCTTTTAACTGTATTGAAGTACTCTCTTGATTCTACAAGGGAAATTGATTTTGCCTTGGGTTACAAGATCCTTTCAAACTACAACCTTAGTTAAAAAAGCGTTGTAAGCCAAACCAATTTGCAACAGTCTTGCTAAAATCAATGCATGCATGCATGCAAAGGAAGTTCTGCGGCAGAGATGAGTTGTTGCAGTAGTGCGCATCATTACTCCCTGAGAACAGTTGCTGTGGTGACACATGGGACCGTCACTGCTTCTGTGAGGACCATTGTTTAGCCTGTGTCAGAAAGATGAAAGGAAAACAGCTGTTTGGCAGTTTCGTGTGGGATCATTGGGAATCAGACTTTGCAAATGTGTGGGCAGGGATGGGAGAGGGAAGCTGGGGAAAAGCAGAGGATGGGGTGACATTGTCCAAGAAAGAAAGGTACTTGTTACCTGACTCAAAATGGCAGCCCCTCTGTACAGTGCATTAATTGTAACAAAATTATTTGGAAAAAAATGAAACAACCACTTGCCAGAGTGTCAGGTCCTCTGAGTGAGGATGGTGGCTTAGCCCTGACCTCTTGGAGGGACCTTCAGCCCCTGGCCCGCCTACGCCTGTTAGAGCAGCCGTTGCCATTGTCATCATTGTTTAGAAAATTGCCGCCACCTCTTGACCTGGTTTTGTTCTTGTTTTGATTTTTTTTTTCCCCCTTGTTGGTCATGGAGCTTGAACTCTGGCCCTGGGTGCTATCCCTCAGCTCTTCAGCTCAATGCTAGCACTCTACCACTTTGAGCCACAGCGCTACTTCCGGTTTTCTAGTGGCTAATTAGAGATAGGAGTCTCATAGATTTTCCTTCCCAGGCTGGCTTTGAACCACAATCCTCAGGTCTCAGCCTCCTGAGTACCTAGGATTATAAGCATGAGCTACCAGTGCTCATTTTGATTTTTAAGACGGCATCATACCATACTGCCCAAGGCAGTCCTGGGTTCATGAGTTTAAGCAATCCTCTTCGTCCTCCCAAGTAACAGCTACCAGTGCCCACCAACACCCAACAACTCTGGTTTTAAAGAAACCCTCAAACATTAATATTTAATAATGGGATGGAAAAGAAAGCTATTAAAATGTAAGATTGAGGCACCTGCTTACAAACAGAGGAAGTGATGATCAGCTCCAATGCTCAGTGAGACTCAGGCTGTTGACAGATGTTCAGTGAAGTATTGAGGGTTTCAGTGTGGCACACAGCCACAACTGGCGATGCCACTCAACTGTGAGTTAATACCGTCACTGAAGCAGAGCACCCCGTCTGTCTGCCACAGGTAGAGGAATCCTGGGCCAGTGTCCAGAATTGGGGCAGTTGCTGCATCTCTGTGGCAGAAGGGGCTCAGCCTAAAAGCGGGTAGCGTAGGCAAGGGCAAGGCCCGCCTGCAACAGTACATTTCTCTGTTGTGGACCTTGTCTCAGAACCCTGCTCAACATAGGTTACTTTTTTCTTCTAAATGATGTATGTTCTTTCTGGTGGTGCATGTCTCCATAAAAGGTCCTGATTGCACCACTGGTTCCAGTTTTGAGATCCTGACTGTCAGAAACTAGGGGTCCGGGCCGCCATCCTCATGGCACATCTCAGCGTTGAGGAGCTTGGAGCTCGGGCCTCCCTTTGGCATGAAAAGGACATGGCTTGTTCTCATTTCACCAGACCTTTCAGTGCTACTTTGACCGAATGCTTCTCGGTCCCACTTGCAAAGAAGTTCTTTGAAAAGAGGAAAGTTCCATTTACTGTCCTTTCTTTTCCTGAAAAGAAATGTTTAAGAGCACTAATGGGATCTTAGCAGCTGGATAGCCAACCTGTGAGACAGATGGAGGCCAGGGATGAACGCGGACGTGTATGGGGCTTTGTGGCAGGTGCCCATAGACTGCACACCAACACAAGGCAGGACTCAGGATGTGCGTGCTCTAAAGTCATGCCTGGAAAACCAGCCCTGTCCATGCTTAATGTCCACATGTGACCTTCTGCTGGCCCCCTGGGAGTCTGGCTCCTGTAAAGGACAAGACAGGAACAGTGAGTGTACCTTCACCAGCCCTCACCTGGACAGCTGGCCCTTTAAGTGTGGATCTCCATGTGTGAGTTCCCCTTGCCCTATTGCTTACCTGGTGAGGCTTTAGAGATTCATTCTCTTTGCTCTCCCAAGCCTGGACAAACCCTTACTGGTGTGCTGGCTATTCTTTTCCTCAGAATGCACACACTAGTAGGAGTGAATCTTTTGAAAGGAGAACTGTTGATTGAGAAGGTCACCACAGGGTTACCACATGATATTCCATTGCTTCTGATGAGCTCACAGCGCTGGGCTGGGCCATAACCATGCTGTGTTCCTGGGTTGCTAATGCATCTGTAAGAAAAACGGACACCATTCAGAGCTAAAAGGCCTTTGCCCCAATATTAAGACAAAAATCTCCCACTGTCTAGTCCTAGAGCCAAGGTACTGTCTATAAGGACATAAATCATGACCAAGAATAACTTTTCTGTTTTAAACATTCCAAAACATTCGCATACATAATTCAGAAATACTAGGGAGGATGTTTTGCTAAGGAAAGTAAACATAGTTAGTTCACAATGCCATCTAGTACTATTCGTTGTCCTGATTCTTATCAGTCAGTCCAAGTGCCTGTAAGTCTGCTGAGCTAAGCTAGGAAACTGTTGGTGAGCACAGACAGGCTCAGGGCAGACATGTTCAGTGCACAGGAGATAACGTGATTTGACAAGGTTTTCTGAATGTCTCAGAACTTAGAAGTTCGGATAATAGCACAGTGTCCTGCTATGAGTTGGTGTAGGAAAGACAGCAGCATGCTCGGCTGGAGGCAGGCCCAGCACTCCTAGTTATTAAACAACAAAGCGGGGACTGTTAGCATGCACGGCCTCAGACCCTCACACTACATTTCTGGGCAGTTGGTAGCCCCAGATGCACCGGTGGAATGCATCGGCCCTCAGACCTGAACTCCTTCTGCCCTGGAATTCTGGGAGTGGTCGGCTTCCCGCCCTCCTCCAGACCTAGCTGCGCTGGCTGCAAGCTGGAAGACTACCTGCCACTCCCATAGCCCCTGGGGTTACAAGGACCCACCTGGGTGGGAACAGGCACCATATTGCCCTCTCCCTCATGGGAAAGATGGCCCTACTCACAAACCTCCTTCTCCCGTATGTGACTGTCTCTGCAGGCCCCAGGGATGGCTGGGATGGACTCTTTAATTGGCAGGGCCGTGGGTATCTTGTACAGCTATTTGCACATTCACAGGATGAATCTTTACTTATACCCGGTTTTCTGAACAATAAGTACTGAGTCCTAAACTTGAATCTGACCTGCATTATTTAAAGGTTCCTTTTGGGAGTAAATGTCCTCTCAGCAGAGCCAGAGTCATACTGCAACAGCTTCTAAATCAGTTAAAGATGTGATGTACCTCTAATGGCTAGTTACAAACAGTGAAATGTCAGATCTATGAGCTGTTATCATTATCTGTGAGATCGCCAGGAAATTAGAATGGTGACGTGTAAAGGCAGCAAGTGGAGTTACCAGTGGGAGCAGCCAGGCAGCTGGGCAAGCCTACAATAAGGACCTCCTAAAGGCAGAGATGATGGGGGAAAGACAGTCGGGACTGATGGTAATGACAAACAGACGGGACCAGAGGTGGAGGACTGGAGCCCTGGCTCAAGTGGAAGAGAGCCTGCTCTGCTCCAACCCCAGTACTGCCGAAAGAGGAAGAGGAGGAAGAGAGGCCTTGGGCAAGGCCTGTGTGGTCCTCATAGTCTGCCCTCTGAGAACGGCGTCCCTGACACCACGGAAGGGAAGATGCTGTTGTCAGGCCCCTTGCTACCCTGAGGTCTTTGAGAAGCTGTCCCCTTCCCACTTGGGCCTTTATGGGATTCTTGCTCTTCTGCGCATCATCTGCCCTTTTCCCGGCTGCCCCTGAACAGCGCCCAGCCATCCTGGGCGCATCCTGGCTCCCATCAAGGGGTAAACTCAGTGGCCTTAGGAGAGAAGTCAGAACAAGGTCTCTGGTAAGCGTCTAGGTATAGATCGGGACTCTGCCTGCAGTCAGTGGGTGGTGACTCAGATGCAATTGCACTTAGATGAGACGCAGACCTGTGCTGATTCTAGGCCATTTTTTATTTCTTTTTGTGCTGGCCTGGGGGCTTGAACTCAGGGTCTGACTGCTTTCCCTGGGCTTTTTTTCTCAAGGCTGACGCTCTATCACTTGAGCCACTTTTGGCTTTTTGCTGGTTAACTGGAGATGAGTTTCATGGCGTTTCCTGCCCGGGCTGGCTTCAAACCTTAATCCTCTAATCCCAGCCTCCCCAGTAGCTAGGATGACAGACATGACCCACTGGCACCTGGCACTTGCTAAAGAGTTTTCTTTGATGTTGTCGTGTTGAACTTTTAAATAGTAACAATAATGATAAGTCCAACAGGAGCAGATTTCATACATAACTGAACAACTGGGGGGTTCTTTCCCACAGTTATTCCTCACAAAATTGGCCGTGTCATAGAAGGAAGCCCGGCGGACCGCTGTGGAGAACTGAGAGTTGGCGATCGTATTTCTGCAGTGAATGGGCAGTCCATCGTTGAGCTCTCCCATGACAGCATTGTGCAGCTGATCAAAGATGCTGGAGTCACGGTCACACTGACCGTGGTCGTTGCGGAAGAGGGTGAGGAACGGTAGCGCCCTGCCTTTCCGAAAGCTGGTCTTGGAAATCCCCACAGCCACCCGCTCCTGTGCCCTCGGGTCTCCTTGTTTGCCTTCTCCATCCAATGAGCTTTCAAGACAGCTTATCCTAAGGTCTCCTGCTAGCCAGGGCCCGCCCTTTATTTATGTGAAGAATGGAAAGCTTGCTTACAAATTCTGTTCAGATCTGGTTTTCTTTTTTTCTTTTTTTTTGGGGGGGGTTCCCAGTCATGGGGCCTGAACTCTGGGCCTGGGCGCTGTCCCTCAGCTCTTCAGCTCAAGGCTAGTGCTACCACTTGAGCCACAGCACCACTTCCAGCTTTTTTCTTTTTGCTTATGTGGTGCTGAGGAACCGAACCCAGAGCCTCAGGCATGCAAGGCAAGCGCTCTACCACTGAGCCACCTTTCCAGCCCCTGGTTTTCTTAATAAATGCCGTGGGCCTCAGCTTGAGTGACAGAAGATCCGTTAAACAGCTCAGAGGGATACGCTGTTGATCCTGAGCCTTGTCGGGCATGGGACTTCACTCTGGGCAGCTTTCCCAACGGGCTGGGGGACAGCGAGCAAATAGAGCGTCAAACGCAAACCGGCAGCTCAGGAAGGGGCTTGCCTTGCTGCCTTTTAATCAGTGAGAGTCTCCAATTAGAGATGTTTTGCGTCAGCACAGTTCCTTGTTTGTGATCGCTAAGTAATTATGTAGTGCTCCTCTTGTTTTCTCCTGACCTTGCGAAACTAGTGGGATCACAACAAAATTGTAAAGGAGCCATCTTTGATGTAAAAATTCCTCATACAGCAGTATTATTATACATGATTGTATTTCCCCGTCAACTTCTCGATCATTGGTCTTTCCTTCTTTGCGCCCCTCCCTCTCTTCCCTTCCCTGCCTCCTCTTCTGTGCATGCCTGTCCCGTTCTCCCTCTCCCCCACCTCTCATGGGTATTGTGAGCCTTGCTGGTCTTGAATTCCTGAGCACAAGACATCTTCCCACCTCAGCCTTCAAGTGCTGGGACAACAGGTGAACACCACCCAGCTTGTATTACTTGATTTTTAACTTTCCTTTTTTTTTTCTATTTTGTGTCAGTCCTGAGGCTTGAACTCTGGGCCTGGGCGTGATCCCTGACTTTTTGTGCTCAAGGCCAGTGCTCTACCACTTGAGCCGCCTCCAAGCTTTCTGGTGGTTAAAAGTGTAGGTAAGAATCTCAGACTTTCCTGCCCAGGCCTGGCCACTGTCTCCAGCCTCCTGCAGAGCGAGGACGACAGGCATGAGCCCCCAGCGCTGCTGTTCCATGCCCGGGTTTAACTCAGGGCCGCCTGTGCTCAGCCGGCACTCCACTCTTGAGCTATGCCTCCAGCCCTTTGTATTTTGTTTTCTTTTTTGAGTCAGGGTCCCACAAACATTGTCCAAGTTGGCCTGGACTTGAAATCTTCTTCCTACATGCCCTGCTTTCGGTGTGCGCCACCATGCATGGCATGCATGGCTTCTGTGCACGTTTTGATCTCCGCTGTTTTCTCATCACCAGAGCATCACGGCCCACCATCAGGAACGAGCTCCGCCAGACAAAGCCCAGCTCTGCAGCACAGACCTGCGGGGCAGACACAGGCCCGTCACCCGCCTGTAGACAGGTGGGCTTCGTGGGTTTAAGGGTTTCCTCCGCCTCCCTGCTCCCCACCGCCCCTGCAGCTGTGTGGAAGCCAGCTGCCGGGACGTTCCCTCCCGAACCTTTGCTGTGCCGCCACTCCAGCGGCCTCCCTCCCAGCACGCACAGCCACAGGCAGTGTCTGGGCATGACGGCAGCCTCCAGCTCTGCTACTTGTGGCCACCTAGTATGGGTTGGGGAAGCACCAAGTGTCTTCTCAGACCACTTGAGCAGAGCCGGACACTTTTTCTACATAATTCTTTTATTGAAAATATTGGTCATAGAACAAAGTCTAGATTTCCAGAAACTCAGCATCTGCCTAGGCATCTCTTGGCTACAAGAGAGCCATTTCTCTTGGTGATGAGGGCACACTTAGCTGCCCAGAGTCTGCTTCAGCTATGTAAGCACAGCTGTTGAGAGACACCGCACCAGTACACCATGAAGCAAATGGGGTTGCTGAGCTCATCATCCCAGTTCTAAGTGGCCTGTCTTGCTAGCAGAGTTCAGATGGAGATTGTCAAGGGGACACTTGAGGAGAAACGAAATGAATCTACTTTTCCAAACTGTTTTTCATTTTCTCTGTTCAGTCAGTGCCTGATTTCTCTCTTCCAGAATGGCCTTGGAAGGAGAAGGTGGAAAAGACGGGCCCGTCTCCTACAGACACTCGTGGTCCGACCACAAGCACCTTGCGCAGCCCGACACTGCCGTGATCTCGGTGGTGGGTGGCCGGCAGAGTCAGGTACACATCCACATACTGCGCTCACACGCACACGCAGACAGGTGAACTTTCGTTACATGTGTTCACAGCAGTTGTTTTTTTTTTTTTTTTTCCCAAGGGTTAGTAATTGTAAACCTGCTTTGTGCTTAGTATTTGCTTGGTTTGCTTCTGTGAGAGGACATAAAGAGTGAGAGAAAAGTTTACCCTAGAGGAAGAGGAATTTGAATGCTGATTAGATACTTGCAAGAACCTGGGGCCAGGGCTGATCACAGTGGAGGCCTTTGGTTTTTTTGCTTGTTTTTCAGGAAAATCTCACTTAATCCTTTTAAAGGGAGCACTTCCTACTGTTCTCTAAGGGTTCTGTTGCAGATTTCTGTTGCACACCAGAAGACATTTCTGCCCTGTTTGTAAAGTGCAAGTTATCCTCCAACCAAAGCTTGCATATTTGTTTATGCTGTAGCCATGTGCGTAGAGAGACTAACTTGATTTTCCAAGCTATCAAGGCTGTCCTTCACGGCGTAGACAGAGCAGTGCTTGAGAACTGCCTCCTCTTCACCTCTCTCTTCCAGAGCCTGGGCTGCTGCCCCGTGGAACTGGAGCGAGGCCCTCGGGGCTTTGGCTTCAGCCTCCGAGGCGGGAAGGAGTACAACATGGGGCTATTCATCCTCCGCCTTGCTGAGGACGGGCCTGCCATCAGAGACGGCAGGATTCATGTGAGTGGACTGCGGGCATCTGAAAATAAATGGTTTAAAGTGAATGAAAGCCTGAATCTAGGAGCAGGATTCTTCCTTCCGTAAAACCTAAACCACTTGTCTTGCCAGTAGTTTCGTGGCTCCCTCCCGCACGCAGTACCATGGCAGCCTCACACAGAAAGCACTTTCTTCCTTGATAAGAAAAATACATTTCTATTTCATTAAAGTCTTGAGAAAGATAAAACAAAAAAGAATCTTCAGTTCCTTCCAAGAGTAATAGGTGTGTCCATCCTGGCTGCCTGTTGGGCTTGCAGTGGAAAGACCCCGAGTTCCTCGAGCCGCTGAGCCACTCCCCCACTCCACCTTTTTTTTTTTTTAATCTCCAAAATGAAGTCATTTTGTGCATTTTTTAAGAAATTATCTTTCAGTAGTTGTACAGAGAGTTGCTGGTTAACAAAACATTGTGAGTACAATGCATCTTCAACATTCACCCATCCCTTCCCTCTTCTCAATTTTGTAGGATACACATTGAATTATTGGCCGCATCCTCCTCTTTTCCTTTCTTTATAAATGGTACAAAGTCATTCTTTCTTATGGATAAGTAAAGTCCCATTATGTATATACCAGATTTTCTTGATCCATTTGTCCATTGAGAGGCTTCTAGGCTGATTCCATATCTTAACTATGGTGAGTAGTGTTGCAGTGAACATGGTTGTACAGGCTTTACGGTAGCCTGGTTTGCGTCTTTTGGAGTGAATGGAATAGTTCTATGTTTACTTTTTTTTTAATTTTTAAATTTATTTTTTATTTGTGAACATACTGTACAGAGGGGTTACAATTACATGGGCAGGATAATGCGTACATTTCTTACCAAGCATTGCAGCCTCCTCCTTTGGTTTACCCTTCACATCGCTTCCCAGCCTCCCCCCTCCCCCCCTATGTTTAATTTTTTGAGGAGCCTCCACACTGCTTTCTGGAATGGGGGAACAAGCTTACACTTGAACCACAGCTCCACTTCTGGATTCTTTGGTGCTTAACTGGAGATGAGTCTTACGGACTTTCCTGAGTGAGCTGGCTTTGAACTACTATCCTCAGATCTCAGCCTCCTGAGTAGCTATATAAGCATGAGCTGCTGGCACCTGGCAAGGATTTTAAATTCTCTCTATATTCGTCATATTAGGCCATTGTCTAATGTGTAGCTGGCAAAAACCTCCTGTTGTTGTTTTTGATGGTTGTGGGGCTTGAACTCTGGGCCTGGGCGCTGTCCCTCAGCTCTTCAGCTCAAAGCAAGTGCTCTACCGCTTGAGCCACAGCACCATTCCATGAGACTCTTATCTCCAGTAAACCACCAGAAAATGAAGTGGTGCTGTGGCTCAAGTGGTAGAGCACTAGCCTTGAGCTGAAGAGCTGAGGGACAGCGCCCAGGCCCAGAGTTCAATCCCACATGACCGACCAACAACAACAACAAATTCTCATAACCTTTCGCAGGGTGCCAGTGGCTCAGAGGCCTGTAATCCTAGCTACTCAGGATCTGAGGATCACAGTTCAAAGCCAGCCTGGGCAGGAAAGTCCATGAAACTCTTATCTCCAATAAACCTTACCAGAAAACCGGAAGTGGTGCTGTGGCTCAAGTGGTAGAGTGCTCGCCTTGAGCTGAAGAGCGCAGGGACAGCGCCCAAGCCCCACGACTGACCAAAAAAAGACTTTCCTGCTCAGGCTGGTTTTGAACCATGATCCTCAGATCTCAGCCTCCTGAGGAGCTAGGTAATGATAGGTATGAGCCACCGGCATCTGGCAAAACCTCCCATTTTGTAGGTTGTCTGTTTAACTTGTTGGCTATGTCCTTTACCATGCAGAAACTTTTGAGTTTGATGTAGTCTCCAAAATGAGACTTGAGAAATATCAAGTCTTTTCTTTGGTTTGCTGTACTCTTAGATCTTTTCTGTGCCAAGGAGCCCTAATGTTTCTCTCACTCCTTCCTATGATGGTTTCATGGTTTCCATTGAACTGATGCCCCAGCCAGGTGATAGATGTCCAGTTTCAGTTTTCTGCCTGTGGGTATCCACTTTTCCCAGAACCATTTGTTAAACAGGCTGTCTTTCTAATGGCCTATAGTTTTAGTTTCCTTAGCCAGTATTAGATGGATGGCTATCCGTGGGTTTATTCTGGTTCCTCTATTCTCTTCAATTGGTCCTCAGACCTGTTTCTGTGCCACTACCAAGCTACTGTCATTACTATAGCTCTGTGGTAGAGTTGAAAGTTTGGTAGTGTTATATCTACAGCACTGCTTTCCCTGCTTTTACAATTTGGGGCATTTTATGATTCCATGTGAATTTTTGGATTGTTTTCTCTATCTCACTGAAAAAATGATGCTGGGATTTTAATAGAGATGTGTTTTAGGCAATATTGCCATTTTCATATTAATTCTGCCAGTCAGGAGCATGGAAGGTCTTTTCACTTCTTATGTCTTATATTTCCTTTTCTTTTTACAGTTTTCACAACTAACAATAAAAAAAATTAAAATACATGCGAAAAAACTGTAGGCTTCACTTTACAAAATAGTTAACTCACTGATAACCAGGTGGGCTGTACATAAAGGCAGGATGTTCTAGACAGGCTCCTCAGCTGCACTAGGGAAGAGGCTTTCTTCTCTCTAGCTTGTGAGGATGCCTGGGTGTGTGGAGGATGGGGAGCTGGGGATGTGTGGGTGGCTGCACTCACTCTTCAAGTTTTGTGCCTGGTCTTAAAAGAGCTGGGAAGATACCATCCTTCCTCAAAATGACCTGGCATCCATGTTAGAAGAGGGCAAGTAGAAACAATGTCCCAAAAGGATTGGTGATTGAGTGGACTGGGGTTGAATAGACACTGGGGTAGAAAACCCTCCACACCTCAGAACTCTCCACGCGCGCGCGCGCGCGCGCACACACACACACACACACACACACACACCAGCGTGGCAGGCAGATGGCACTTGAGTTGGGGTGGGATAGTCAGTGTGGATGCATGTGCTGCTCACAGGCCAGGCAGGGAGACCTTAGAGAGCAGTGGACCAGACAGAGCTCTGAGGCCTACAGTGAGTGGAGCAGAAACAGTCAAGCAGATGGGGCAGACAGGAACGCGGATCTTATAGCCAGATGGAGCCGGGCAGCGGCAGCACCATTGGAGCCGTTAGTAGAGAAGACGGGTGCAGCTGCCTTCTCTTTTCACTTCTGACCCTCCTGCTTCTCCTCTCTCCACTATCATTTCTCTGTTCTTTCTTCTCTGCCATCTTTACCTCATAATCTTATTTTTTAATGCAAAACTGAACTTGAGTGCTCATTCTCAATTTGTCAAAAGATGTTTTCCCCATTGTATTCTTACTACATTTTTAGTTTTTAGACTAAAACGTCCGGAACCCCGTACCCAAACCTGAGGGCTTATCTTAAAACCAATTAAACAGTTAAACAAAACTGACACCTGGTGGTAAATCTGTTCAACTACAGCTTGATTTGCATTTTATTTTTATTTATTTTTTTGCCAGTCCTGGGGCTTGAACTGAAGACACTGTCCCTGAGCTGCTTTTGCTCAAGGCTAACACTATCATCTTGAGCCACAGCGCCACTTCCAGTTTTTTCTGTGTATGTGGTACTGAGGAATTGAACTCTGGGCCTCATGCTTGCTAGGCAGGCACTCTACCTCTGAGCCACTTTCCCAGCCCTGCATTTTTTCTTTTAGACCAAAATAAAAATGGCATAGGGCTATAGTTACAGACAAGGAATGTTTCTAAAATGAACAAAATACTTCGATTATGTTTAGAAGATAACACTCAAAGCATGTTCTAGATACTGTCAAATACTGTCACTTTTCTCCAGCCTGCTAGTGTTGTCATACTTCCGTTGGTGTTTAAGTTCTTTTCATTCATTTGCCTCGGTCTGTTTGCTGTTGCCATAACTGAATGAGTACCTGAAGCTGGACTGTGTCAGGAGATGTACATCCTACACTTAGGGATGCTCACTGCCTGTGGCGGGGTTTCCTTGCAGAGTCCTGGGGCTGTGCAAGTCAAAGAGCTCCCTCTGTAATGAGCCAGCCAGCCACCCCTGAAGTCCCATCTCCAAAGACTGTTTTAGTTGTGCCTGGTAACAGGTAGTCTCCTGGCCCTGTCTCCGAGGGCCTCCTACCTCCATTTCAAGACTGGAACACGTCACCCTACATCTGCAATGAGACACTGTTTTCTCTTTCATAAAGCATGTGAAAATTTTGCATTGTATACAGTGCTAGTAATGCATTTGACAGCACTCATCTGTGGCTGGTGGGCAGTCATTGGGGCTCAGTTCAGTCTCCCAGTCACCCCAGGAGTTAGGTGCTACTATCCCCATTTAACTGTGAAGAAAGCAGGCCCAGAGCTTGAAAAAGGAGCAGAGCCAGGGGATTATAGACATGGACACCCAAGCCCCATTCTTCACCACCAACTATGCTGTACACCTAGGCACACCGGACCCCACGGGCCCTGTGTATTACTTACCGATCGTTTTAGTAAGCTCTTTAAAACACCCGCACTATTTGCTTTTGTGAATTGCAGTCATCTTCCATTATTCTGTTCTGGTTTGAGGCCGATAACCTTCAGCTGCATGTCACCATGAGGTAGATTTTAATTTTTACTAACATAAATTGTACAAAGAGCATTGTAATACTCAACAACTTACGTTTTGATCAAACTCAACGCCTCTTTCATTACTTTTTCCCTCTTCCCAGTCCTTGTCAAGTCTTTTGATTTGTTTCCTTGTTTTCATGTACTCTGGCAACATCCACCCCTCACTGAGTCCTTCTCCATCTCCTCACCTGCTGGCTCCTCCTCCCCAATCTCCCTTTCACACTTGTCATTATTTGTAAGTCTGAATTACACATATAAGTGAGAAATACAATATTGTGTCGTCAAACTCAGAAAGTATGGACATGCATGTGTGGTGGTCCTGGAACTTAAACCTGGGTGTTGTCCCTGAGCTTTTTTGCTCAGGACTAGTGCTCTACCACTTCAGCCAGAGCTCCATTTCTGGCTTTTTGGTGGTTAATTGGAGATGAGTCTCTCAGACTTTGAAATGCGATCCTCAGATCTCAGCCTCCTAAGTAGCTACAGTTGTGAGCCTCTGGTGTCCAGCTAATATTAGTTTTAGACAAGTGCTGCTATTGACCTATTCCCCAAGTTTCATTTCTGTAGAATGTGAGACTAAATCTTCCGCCCAGTGGGTGTCTAGACAGAGACAGCACCGAGTGGGACGGGGGTCCAAGCCAGTCTCTAGACCTCAGTACAGCACCTCTGGTTCAAAGGCACACTGCAGAAATTGGTGTAGTTTGGTTTGTAGAAACCTCACCTTCTACTGCTTCACTTTTCATAGAAAACCTCTGCTTTCTTTTCTGAGGTGCCAGGTGTAGAGCCAAAGGCCTTTCTTGCACCTGCCATGAAAAACTTAGAATTGGACTCATGATTCCAAGATCACCAGATAACTGACTTGTTAGCCATATAAAAGCTTCCCAGTAGGTCTCTGTGGGGTAAGTAAGGCATACTTTATCCCGTCCTAATGTTCCGCCTCAGCTCTGGTGGACATGGGCATGCGGCACGTTGAGGTGAGACAGCTTCTGTGTGGGAACTCGAGGAGGGCGGCTGCACGTGACTGTTTCTGTCCTTTCTAGGTCGGTGACCAGATTGTGGAAATCAATGGGGAACCCACACAAGGCATCACCCACACTCGAGCCATCGAGCTCATACAGGCTGGAGGAAATAAAGTGCTGCTTCTCCTGAGGCCAGGATCCGGCCTGATTCCTGACCACGGTGAGCAGGGCTGTGCAGCACTGAGACGTGCTAGGGTTGGAGGGGGACAGTCTATAGCCAACTCAAAGGCAGGCGCCAACACCAGGCAGTTGCTGCATGTAACTCAACAAGGGGCCTCCAGCGGGTGTCTGTTGAAATGGCATTTCATGTAAAAGTATCCGCCTGTAAGACTGGCAAGCAATTCAAATGCGCAGTAAACTGGTAAGAATCTCCCAGCTTCTCTCTTCCATGGCTAGTTACACACAGTACCAAAAAAGTTTATTTCCTTACAATAAGACCAGTTTGCCTCTTAATGACAAGTTTTCATAAGAAATTCAGGAATCCCTGTTACTTGTAAAAGCCCCAGAGGCACAGAGCTGGACCAGAGACCAGGTCTGTACTCCTGCGCCAACTCCAGCTTCCTTGGCTTCGTCGTGTAGTTTGGACTGTCTCTTGAGTGCATCACGCTAGACGTTAAAGGCAGTCATGTAGTCCCTTGGCCTTGGTCCTGTCTGCCCTAGCCCAGGCCTTCTAGGGCAAGTGTGGACATGACTTCCTGCCGTCCCGTCCCCTTCCAGCGTGTGACTCTGTTTTGCCTTCTGCCGTCTACTTGAGAGCCATGCATTCTGGGGACATCTTTGCTCACCATGCTCATTGTTTCCACATAGTCCTAGGCTTTTTCTCTTCCTCCTTCAGGTTTGGCTCCTTCCGGTCTGTGCTCCTACGTGAAACCTGAGCAACATTAAGGCTTTCAGGGCTTTTCTTGGTCTTTCCTTAAAAAGACTTGGTAAATTTGCATGTCTTATAAATCACTTCCTCCTTTTGTTTTCTTGTTAATTAAAAATGATGCCTTTATATGCATCTGTTTCTACCTTCTCACTTCTCAAGTTTCCTTTGGCATTGAATTTGGCCAGCATAGCTCAAGAAAAATGCTTACAAATATTCATGGAAGTTGTTCATATTTATTAATGATTTTTTCATATCTCTTAAGGATATATCCATTGGTAATACCCTAATTGTAAACCTTGTGGACAAGATAGTTTAGTCCAATTTTATTATCATTTCTTGTAACTTTCTGCTTTGGCTCTACAAATAATTCACAGATCACACATTACTTAGCTCATTAATTATACATAATTATAAAATGAAGTGTTTACATATATCAGCAATTTATCAGCACATGTTCTCCAGTGTCTGCCCATCTCTGCTTCACAGAGAGATATGTAAACATGCATCCGTTCAGTTTAAGGGGTTCGTGCCCAGTTCTGCTTCCAAATGTAACACTGTCACCCTGGACCCTTCTGTAGGTGACGGGGACACGAGTAGCCCTCCGTCTCTCAGTGTGATCTACGAGGAGCAGCCTCCGTGCCCCTCCTCTCCACACACCGCTCCCGCATGTGGAGAGGCAGAGCTGAAGGACGCCGGCCCCGAGAAGAAAAGCACTTCACATGAGCACCAGCCGGAACTAACGCATCAGCCTCCTCTCCAGAAAACTGTGAACAGGAGAGGTCCACACCACAGTGACAAGAAGTATCTCCTAAAGGTAGAAGACGGTGGAATGCCACGAGGCAGATCTGCAAGTCCCAAAAAGTCAGCTAACCAACATCCAGAGGAACATCTGGGGAAGAGTCCCAGTCCTCAGAAAGATGGCCTCAAAGGGAGACCCAGAGACGGCTCGCTCAGCCCTAGGAAAGGGGAGAGTAAAGGCCAGGTGGGCACCAGGTCGGCCTCTGGACAGGGCCACAGCCACGGCAGGAAAAGCAGGGCGCGCTCCTCCAGCCCCAAGAAGCCGCACGACCTGGCTGGTGCCGGAACCAAATCCCTAGACGCGGGCAGGGCTGGTGACAGGGCAGAACAGTTCTCTGCTGCAAGAGAGAAAGCCGGTGCCAGCAGGAAAGATCTGAAGCCAAGTCCACTGGGGACAAACAGAGCCAGGTCACCAGAGAGTAAGAGCAAGAGAATGGAGGCCAAGTCGACCAAAAAGACCTTGAGCACTGCTAGTGGGGCAGAGCCTGAAGAGGGGACGGAAGGGCAGGCAGCCTCTAGAGAAAGGAGTTCCAGTAGAGAGAAGCCAGGAGGGAGCCTGCAAACGTTAGAGGAGAGGACTGCACTCAGTCAGGACACTCAGAGAGGGAGAGAGGCAGTGGTGGCCGACCAGGGCCAGGAGGGCACTCGGAAAATGCCCATAACCCCAGGGCCCTGGAAGGTGCCAGGCGCTAACAGAGCCACAGGGGCTGCAGGTGTGGCTGAGAAGCGGCCGTGACCCAAGTCGTTATCTTCTCACAAAAAAAGCATTTCCAAAAGCAGTTTTCCACAAGTTAGAATACCCGAGCACATTTTAATTTGAGTATCCACTTGGACCGCATGCAGGACCTTTGCCACTGCTCAGCGCCTCCCCAGGGCAGCCTCTCCAGACAGCGTGGTGACACATTCTAGCCTGTGGTTACCATGTGCCATGTCACCTGCTGCCCATGTCTGCTCTGTGCTCAGTGATGAAGTTGGGGTGGTGCAATAGCATGTTGCATGTTCACAGTCCTCAAGAGGTGTGACCCATCATTAATGATGACGGCTGCCTCTTCTAACAGGTGCAGATGGTACCCCAGTTTAAAACAGAACCCCAAAGCCCTATTTAAAAGGAAAGCAGTGTCCTGTTAGGGCTCTTTTTTTTTTCATTAGGACAGATGGGGCGTTAGGACTTATGTCTTTGCAGGCCATGGTGTTCCAACCTCTGCCAGCCTCAGTCACTGTGAAGCCACAGGACGCAACGAGTGCTCACCATGTCTGGACAATTGGTCGTTCTACTAAACACGTAAGCTTTACTGCATATATGAAGAGCCAAAATAGGGCGCAAAAAGTGTTCAGCAGTTATGAAACCAGCCAGACTACACGCAGCTCGCTGGCTGAAGAGAAAGCCAGCCACCTGGGCAGAGTCTGGGCCAGCCAGGCCTTGATCCTCAGCTGCTCAAACACAAGAGGAAGACAGAATGTCTGCTCAGCTCACATGCCTTCCCAGATCCTTTCCCACTGCCGGGCCGGATTCCATCCCTGCGGCGGCACTCCCCCTCTACACATGCCTTCCCAGGGCAACTGGTCCAGGGGCTCGAAGGTGTGCTGTCACCCTGGGTTTGTGCTGTTGTGAGAACTGTGTCCAGTCCTTCCCTCAAGTCTGCCTGTGAAACCCCATGTAGCACCCACCTGTAGCTGGCACACATGTCCCAAAGTGAGGCTCACTACTCACTGAATAGAGCGAAACCAAGAGGCTTGATAAATGCTGACTTTAGTTCTCTATAGCCCACAGTTAGTGACGCGGGTCGTACCTTTCTTCTTAACCGTGATGTGGCTTGTCATAATGCAGCTCTTATCTCTGCGTAGCCTGGCCCTGTGCAGGTAGACGCCGCTCCAGCCGCAGCGCAGACATGGATGTCCTGGTGTAAATGTTTATATATGTACAGTATCTTTATATAAATATATATATATATATGCATATATATATGTACACTGAAGTTCTGATTAGAGAAAGATCTGTAAATTGCTCGTTATTTTTTATATAGATATTAAAAAATCCATTGCCTGTATTTCCTTGACTCCTCTCCTTTTAAAGCTGCAGCTGAGTTGTCAAGGAGCTGAGCCTCCAAGTGACAAACATTCAAAACCCTGGCTTGTCAAGGAGGTTCTGGTCCTGTGACTTCACCTGCAGAGCTAGACTTTTACTGTTACACCTATTTCTCACCATCCACTGTAGAGAAAATAATTTTGTTAAATCATTTGCCTTCTTGCACTGTCAAGAGAAGCTGGTCTCACTGGAAATCTAGCGTTTGTGCAGACATCAGGTCACAGGCCCTCACATTATTCTTAAAACTTTAAGCTTTGAGAATGAAGTGCTGTGGAGTGGCTCTCATTTAATACTTTGTATGAAACAGGCCTAGGCCTGTTTCAAGACCCTGGCTAATTTCTATTCAAGGAAAAGATAAATTCCTATCATGACATGTGCTCACACTGACGATAAACCCACACCTGTCTGTCAGGTAGTAAGGCCCTGAGTTCAAACCCAGGACCAGGTGGGGATGGAGGGGTGAAAAGATAAACCTAGTGGGCATCAGTGGCCCACACCTGTAATCCTAGCTACTCAGGAGGCTGAGATCTGAGGGTTGCAGTTCAAAAGCCAGCCTGGACAGGAAAGTCCATGAGACTCTTACCTTCAATTAACCACCAGAAAACCGGAAGTGGCACTGTGGTTCAAGTGGTAGAGCACTGGCCGCCCTGCCCCACGACCAACCAAAAAAAAAAAATAATAATCCCTGGTTTCCCAGGCCTGCCCACATTGGAGAAGTACAGCAAACAGTCTGTTGTGGCCACTTCCCTGGCAGATGACATGGCCGAGGCCTTCCCTACAGAGCCCTGAGTACTGACACGGCTGCACACATGTGCTTCACACATGTGGCTCTGTGGAGCCCAGGCCCTGCCAGCGTGTGCTTGATACATAGCCAGTGCCATTTGGGGGCTAATTCAAATTTCTCCTCAAATAAGAGATTCACAATTTAGATATTTTTCTTGCTTTTAATCACAAAATAAGCCTGGAAACGGAAATTATCCAGTAGTTTTCTTTTATTTGGATTCAACCTAAAATAGCTTGATCTCCCTTTAATAGAGAAATGCCCGATTCCATAGACTATCATAAAAAAGTACTGAGTGTACATCTTTCCAATACGATACTTGCTTCGAACTTTAGGCATCAACCATAGCTACCCAAAAGGCTTTCCAGTAAGTACAACTCAGTTCTCAAGTGCCTGGAATGACTGTCTTAGCCTGGAACACGTTGTTACTGACTGCATCTGTCGTCTGCTGACCGCACATGGCTAAAGGTGAAGAGGTGCACAGGTGACAGGGCCAAGAGCAGCCGTCTCTCAGTGGGCTAACGGACGCCCATGCAGGGGGTCCGGGGACAGGACTCAGGACTTAATTTTCCACAGCTAAGAAAGAAAACATCAACAAAGTTAGTTCTAAAACTAACAGGTTAGTTCTAAAACTAATAGTTTCATGACTTCACAGAGAAAAATTATCAACCATCCCAGCCACAGTTTAGGAAAAAAAGCATCTTTTGCAGGATCAAAAATGACTGTGCAGCTTGACCATGGGTTCTCATGCCTACCTGAGATCATGGTAACATCTTCCAGCCTGTGCTACTAAAGTGACATGAATTCACACCTCATCGACGGTGCTAAGTGCTCTACGCATGTGGATGAGGAAAGCTGAGCTGAGAAGCAGAGCATCAGCAGACGTTCACACCCAAGCCTCCTGATGCACGCACACACCCGCATACACAAGGACAGGAAGGCAGTGGCGGCAGGCACTCACTCTTATATTAAACCCCAGAAGATCGCTTATGACTCCTGAGACGGCAGAGAGGATAACTACTCTCGTGATGTTGTAGATCAGGGGGTTCATGGTCAGCCCGTAGAGTCTAAATGGGGTGTCCAGCTCCTACAAAGCAAGAGCTAGCATGAGATGCACGCAGAGACACGCTCTGCACACCTGCCTTTCCAAGATCACCTGCAGAGTCCATGAGGCACTGGAGTGAACCACACATTTTAGATGGATTCGGTATCATTTTGTTGTTGGTGCCGGTGGTCAAGGGGCTTGAACTCTGGGCCAGGGAGCTGTCCCTCAGCTCTTCAGCTCAAGGCTAGCGCTCTACCACTTGAGCCACAGTGTGACTTCCAGTTTTCTGGTGGTTCATTGGAGGTAAGAGTCTCACAGACTTTCCTGCTCAGGCTGGCTTTGAACCACAATCTTCAGATCTGAGCCTCCTGAGCAGCTAGGATTACAGGTGTGAGCCACTGGCGCCCCACTTTAATTTTTAACATTGTGAATACACTTTGCCAATCATCAAATCTGAGCAGGAAGAGTGAAAATTTCTCCTTACCTGTCACTAACCCAAACCATCAGGCTGGCATTTGACATCTATTCATTCTGGTATTTACTGTCACCATGGTCTCAGAGTTCTAAGAGGTAAAGCCCTGATTTGCTGACTTGAGGGGATGATTTTAGTTCATCGTCTTCTTTCTTGTACAAAGAACTACATGAACACAGCTGACACGAGGGCCTCTGCCTTAGTGACTGTACCTCCTCCCAGAGGTCGGGCAGAAAGCAGGCCCAGGCCTTGAGAAGTTGCTGGACAGTGCTGGCCCCCGTGCAGGGTCCTCAGTGCTACCACCGACAGCAGCACCCACCACGGGGCAGGATAAGGGGCAGCACTGGGGCGCAGGGCACATCTGGTCTGCTGACTGACCGGCATAGGTTGCTTCACATGGAAAAACCTCATGACCTCTAGCTCCTGGGTGGGCAGGGACACGCCATCCTGATCACCTCAGAGACCAGGCCACTCTGTTCTCAGCCTTGCTTCTTGTCTCTGGCCTGGCCATGGACTCGGCCTGTAAACCCCGAGCTCCAGGGCCTCCTGTCTAGACCACAAGCACCCATCCCTGGAGTTTCCTCAGAAAAGCTGCTGTCTAAGGCAGCAGTGGCTTACACCTGTCCTCCCAGCTACTCAGGGCCATGGTGCCAGCCAGCCATGCAGACAAGAAAGTCAGCGAGACTCCTACCTCCAATTAAAGCACTAAAAAGGTTGGGTGTGTCCTTGGCTTAAGTGGTAAAGCGCTAGCACTGAGGGACAGTGCCCAGCCCTGAGTTCAAGCCTTAGGACCAGCACCAAAGAAAAAAAGAAGCTGAGACAAGTATATCATTGGATGTTACTTACTTTTAGCAACTTGGTGGACAGCTTTAGTACATTGTTTACAAGAGTGAGCTGGTCTTTTTTATTTGGCTTTTTTTCCATCTTAAGATATAAATTAATCTAGGAAAGGAATAAAGATTAAGGTTAAGTTTCATAGCAAAACAAAATATATACAGGGCTAGGGCACGGCTCAGTGGTAGAGTGTTGGCCTAACACACAGGGGGCCAGGAGTTCAAACCCACATACCATCAAAAACACCTTTTAAAATTTCTAACTACTTCTTCTACAGAGAGCACATACCATGTATGCTAGCCACCAACCTCTGACAGAGTAAACTTTAGCAAAGGTAATAACCGAACCATCAACAAATTCACATTTTTATAGTAATTACAAATACAACAAAATCAGCATGTAAATTCCTTAAGTTAAAAAACTCTTGTTTGTCTCACCCCCCAAATAACTTAAACATATGTGGGAAGAAAACAGTTTAACTTCCTTATTTTTTCCTAATAAGAATTCTCCACTCTATTTGGAAAAGGGTGGAGGAATAATGATTCTAAATGTTTTTAGCTCGAGTTTACTTGAAATCAAAAATAAAGGGGACTGGGAATGTAGAGTGCTCACCTAGCACGCATGAAGCCCTGGGTTTGACTCCTCAGTACCACATACACAGAAAAGGCTGGAAGTGGTGCTGTGGGTCAAGTGGTAGAGCACTAGCCTTGAGCAAAAGAAGCTCAGGGACAGTGCCCAGGCCCTGAGTTCAAGCCCCAGGACTGGCAAAAAATAATAAAACAAAAAGATAAAACTGTTTTGTGCTCCTCTGTTTACAAGGTATTAATATACTGAAAAACAAGTCTTTTCCAAGTCCTGGGTGTGGTCTTGTGGCTGGTGCTGCAGAGTCTGGAAGGCTCTCTGGGTGGTGACAGGTCCTCTAGAGGCCTGAATCTATCCTGGCCACAATGCCAGGCTAGAAGCATGCTGTCACAGGCAGAAAACCAGGTCTCTTCATCCCTCCGATCCTGACTCCCTGGACCTGGAGCAGGTGTGAGGCCCTGATGAGTATGCTTAGAGCAGGGGCAGCATGACCCAGTGGTGATGCCCCTCCCCCCCATGCCCTACCTGCTCCGTGAGCAGTATGGAGACGTTGCTGTATTTCTTGTTGGTTTCAGACCCCAGTGAGGCCAAGCGCAGCAAGAACAGCAGCAGGGCTGTTTCCCAGACCAGCAACTCCCAGTTGTAAGCGTCGTTCAGGAAGGTTTTATGCCCTTGGAGGACCTACAGAGAACCCAATAAATGCTCAGTTCTAAATCTGCCTTCAGTCACATAATGGATTCCTTACCAAATTTAAAAGAACGCTTTCAGATGCAAAGCCTAAGAGTTTCAGTGCTCATAAAGTATTATCTTTAATCTGTAGCACTTTTCCTTTTCCTAGTAAGGGGCTGGGGGAACCCATGGGGACACACAGATACTGCAGGAGGAGAAGACACAGACACCGCAGGAGGTGAGGAGGGGCACAGCCATCTCTGGCTGCTGTGACCAGCCCCCTCCCTGGGACACAGGACCACAGTTCCCTGCCAAGTGCGCCAGCGAGCCCACACCCCACCCCACAGGCCCTCCACTCCCAGCGCTGCAGCACCCTAGGAATCAGCTCTTCATGTCGGATCGAACATCACTAACATCAAACAAAAGCTAAAACTGATTGAGTGCCTCTTTTCCTTCAAGTTTCCTGTTAGTTGTTTTTAAAATGTGTTGACTTAAGAGTAAAAAGGCATGGTGACTCATGCCTAGAATCCTAACTACTCAGGAGGCTGAGATTCTGAGGATCATGGTTCAAAGCCCGCCGGTGCAGACTCTGCAAGACTCTTATCTCTATTTAACCAGCAAAATGTCAGAAGCAGAGCTGTGGCTCAAGACGTAGAGTGCCAGAAGCTTAGGGGTAGCCAGCAAGGACCTGAGTTCAAGCCCTACAACTGGCACAAACAAAAAAAAAAATCACTGTTCACAGCTGTCAGAACACAGTAGCTTTCTTTTTTTTCTTCTTCTGTTGGTCGTGGGGCTTGAATTCGAGACCTGGTTTGCTGTCCCTGAGCTCTTTGTGATCAAGGCTAGTGCTCTACCACTTTGAGTCTCATGGGACCTTCTTGCTGTGGCTGGCTTTGAACTATGATCCTCAGGTGTCAGCCTCTTGAGGAGCTAAGATTATAGGCATGACCCACCAGTGCCTAGCTCACAGTAGCTTTTCTATCAATCAAAAATTCAGAAATGGGGCGGGAAGGTGGCTCAGTGCTAGAGTGCTCGCCTCACATGCATGAAGCCCTGGGTTCCTCAGTACCACATACACAGAAAAGCCAGAAGTGGCACTGTGATTTAAGTGGTAGAGTGCTAGCCTTGAGCAAAAGAAGCCCAGGGACGGTGCCCAGGCCCTGAGTTCAAGTCCCAAGACTGACAAAAAAAAAAAATTATAACTACAGTTAAAATGACCTTGAATCCTCATATTCACGCCCATACTGTTAGAAAAATTAACCAGCATCCGAAAATAGCAAAAGAAGTGCGGACACATTCAAAGCCACACAGCTAAGCGCACGGTGGGCTGTGGGCACTCTTACCTGGGCACAGCAGATGAAGGCGATAGAGAGTGTCAGCAGGAAGACGGAAGACACCACAACATCCACAGAGCGCTGCGGGCCTCGCCTCTGTGGGGCAGACAACCACACCATTCACACTCAAGGCAGCGCCAGCGTTCCAAGAACGTCAGGCAACATTTCCACACACTCCAATACCCATGTCTGAGGCCCTGCAACCCACACTCCCCCGAAACGAGAGGACGATCGATCATTAATCTAGTTCTAGCTACTTCCCAGTCAGAAAAAGAAACAGTATTTGTATCACTCTGCCCTAGGAAACTTAAATTTTCTTTTCCCTGAGTACTTACCTAACTTCTACCAGCTCTACAGATAGATCACTCCCAACCACCTGTCCAGCCATCTGCCCACCACTCGGCATCCATCCCAGGCTGACCTCCACAGCCCAGGGGCCTCTGCCCAGCACACCACGAGCACTGGTGTCCCCGGAGGAGACTGACCTTCAGGAAGGAACGCAGCGATAGCCAGATCTTGATATTCTCCACCTTTTTAAGTCTGAAATGAGGTATTTCATATTTTCTAGCTTTCCTGGCTGAAGTAATATGGCTGAAGAGTTTTGCAAATAAAAATCTCTACAGGAGGTGAAATAAAAAAAAAGCACAAGGTGAAACATTCAGGCATCTCTGAGAGTCCACACAGCCGTCAGCGCTGCTCTCCACATATTTACTTCAAGTGTTAAAATGGGTGAATTCATGTTTGAGGTCCCCAAGAGTGGGCAGTGCGGAAGTGTGAAATGTCCTTCACGCCTACCACCTGGCTTGGCCAGCACACTGCATGGAAACACAGGGCATGAGCTGGACTGTGTGAGGAATGGTGGCTGGGGACTCTGATTCCTCATTTCCCACCACCTTTTTTTTGGGGGGGAGGGGGGTGGTCGGTCGTGGGTCTTGGCACTGTCCCTCAGCTCATCAGCTCAAGGCTAGCGCTCTTCCACTAGAGCCACAGCACCACTTATGGTTTTCTGGTGGTTAATTGAAGAGTCTCACGGAAATTCCTACCCAGGCTGGTTTTGAACCATGATCCTCAGATCTCCGCCTCCCGAGTAGCTGGGATGACAGGTGTGTGCCACCCGCACCCTGCAACTCCCACCATCTTTTACAAAAACATCATCACTCTGTGGGGTGGGGGGAGGAGAGGCGGGAGGGGGGTCCTAATGGTCTAATGCCCAACAGCAGCCAGCCCGCCTGGCGGCAGCCATGTCCCACACAACAAACAGGCAATAACAGGAATTAAACCCTCACAAACCAAAATCAAGAGACCCAAAACAAGTATGTGAAATATCATTGCTTCTCATCCACTAACCTGCTTGTACGTTCTCTCCGCCACACACATCATGAAGAAAAACATCCAAGTAAGACACAGTCTTTCAAAAAAATTAATAAAAGACAGAATGATAACAGGCATGACGGGCGGTGCCCCGCAGAAGAGCGCCAGGACCTCCTCAGCCGAGATGGACCTGATCTGCTCCAGGCTCTTCTCGTGGAAAAGGCGGTATAGAAACGGGAACAGGGTCAGCCCCGCGGTGACGGCGTTCCCCAGCATCTGGTAGCCCCCACCTTGCTGGCACGCATTCACCTGCAGACGGATGGGGCCCCAGCATTACTGCCGCCAATGGAGGTGGCACCAACGCTATTTCAATATGCAGGCTGGCTGGGGAGCCCTGGCCTCCATCCCCAGCACCACAGGGAGAGGAAGATGAGCAGAAACTCGCAACTCGTCACAAGCTAGGGCCAAAGAGACGAGGAAGCTTTGGAGAGCAGAAATCATGTTTCCATTTCCTACATACTACCAGGACTCTGCGACTTCAGAGCGCAGAGCAGTAGGTGGGTGCCGGTTGGTGTGGTACAGAAGGTGTGGAGGGGGGGGGGGAGGGAGGAGGTCCACGTCCAACCCTACCCTGCTCATGATGACGCCACTGATCTCCAGCACAGACATGTCCATCTTCTTGCACTCACTGCCTTCCCAGATGATGGCACTGACCCGGTCAGAGGCGGGGCTTGAGTTCTGAAGCCAAAACAGGTGGTTCTAGGGAGGGAAGTACAGAGGTGACTCCAGCTGCAAGGCCAAGCCTCCTGGCTCACCAGCCTCTCACCACCTGCTGAGCAGCTAACTGCCCTCTACAATGAGGTGGGACTCCTTTCCACATTTTCCCTCTCTAAAGACAGGTAAGTGACCAGAGCACAGGAAGTTAGGAAGAAAATCAGGCCTTTCTCTGGCCTTACAAGTGCATGAACTAGCAGAGCACACTCGAGCAGCCTGGGAGGATGCGGACTACCAGCTCCCGGCCAGCCCAGGCCTTAGTCTCCGTGCTACCTCAGCAGTGTGGCTCTTTATGAGAAAGGCTGATGAGGTCTGTCTTCAGAGTGCTGAGGATCAAGGCCAAGGCTGTGGCCCTCTCTGGACGTGTACGCACACATGTCTAATGCTTACTGGGCTCACTCTTCCAGCTGTCCTGCCAAGCTACTTCACAATACTCCACATGTAAAGCCAACAGGGACCACGTGACACAAGGTAGCAACAACTCCACAAACACCTCCTAAGGAGTCTAGGCTACTTGTGACACTGAAACCTGACCATGAAAGCATCACATGATCTATGCTCTAGAGAAAGGCAATGGTTCACACAGTGCCTACAAAAATGAAAGCAGGGGACTGGGAAGGTGGCTCAGTGGTAGAGTGCTCACCTCGCATGCACAAAGCCCTGGGGTCGATTCCTCAGTACCACATACACAGAAAAAGTCAGAAGTAATGCTGTGGTTCAAGTGGTAGGGCGCCAGCCTTGAGCAAAAGAAGCTCAGGGACAATGCCCAGGCCCTGAGTTCAAGCCCCAGGACTGGCAAAAAAAAAAAGGAAGCAGATGGGCCAGGCCTGCTCACACAGGAACAGTGGACTGCCACAGGAAGACACTCACCCAAGCAATGAAAAACCTCAGGTGGAGGCGTTTCCCTCTTCTCACCCCACTCCTCAGAAGTGGGGCAGAGCGGGGTCCCCCCGCCCCCCGAGTGTGGGCAAGCCCCGCCCCCACACACCTGCTGGAACGCGTCCTCCTGGGGGGGACGCTTGGCCCCGGGGCGCAGGGCGCCCGGCTGCGCGGCCTCGCTGTCGCTGGTGGCCGACGAGCGGCACTCGGGGCCGTGCAGCAGGTCATCCCACAGCATGTCCTCCGTCTCCGAGTCCTGGCGCGCGCTCTCCGAGTCCCTTCCGGACAAGCGGAGGCGCCGGGAGCCACCAGCCACGCCAGGCCGGGTACCCTTCAGGGGAGGCCAACAGGACAGCACCCTTAACAACAGTGACGTGAACCAAAGTGGACAGGAGTCATGTATGGCAGTGCCGGCCTCCGCAGGCCGATGCCCGCTCCCCAGCCAGCCGGGCCTCGAGTGTCTCCTAGTAACAGCCAAGCTGGGGTGTCACCCAGACATCTGGAGGCGAGTGACCCTGCTGGGTCTCCACGGGGCCCAGGAGTAGCTGTGGGGCCTGGGACAGTGTCCCTCTGTCCCTGCCCTCCCTCACCTCCCTCAGCTGTGCCCCACCTCTCCAAGGCTGTGTCATTCTCCTCCCCAGCCCCCTTCTCCCTCGGCAGTGCTCCCATCTTCTAATGGTCCTTTCTCCTCTCTCCATAATGTAGCCCTACTTCCTGAACAACTCCACATCCCAGATGCTCAGGGCCTGAGCAAGGTCTTTCTGAGCATCGTCTACGATGCTTTTCAGATTAGGGCTAAACAGCACCATGTGTGCATCTGCCTCCCTGCCCCTGCCCACAGCTGGATGTCACTACAGCCAAGAGTACGCCCCGGGCAAACACAGGCAGCATCCAGTGCTGCGCTGCTGCTCACTGGACACTCTGTGGCACACCAAGTATACAATGTGTGGCAGGGACTGGAGGGAAAGATTAGAAGAAAGTGAAGAGAGTGGTAACACTGTCCAAAAGGAAGCATACTCGTTACCTGATTTACGTGATTATAACCTCTCTGTACATCACCTTTATAATACTTTAAAAAAAAAACCACTGATCTCGGGAAGATGCTTTACCTGGCTGAAGGGAGGGGGTTCACACTCTGACTCAGCCAGGCTGTCTGAGTCCCGCACTAGGTGACACCACCGCATAGCGGTCTTCTTTGCCTGCAGAAATCACACCCATGTTACAGGAGAAGGTGGGGATAGGACTTCCCTCCCGGGCTCTGAGGCTGAAATGAGTATCACCTGAGGGTGGAGGTGGCCGGCGAGCGCAGACTTTCTGTTCTTCACAGCACAGCCGTTGTCGCTGGAGGCACCCTCCACGCTCCGGCGCAGCAGGATCATCTGGGTGTGTGCCTCGCCGTCCTCGTCACTGGACGGGTCGTCTGACACCCTGCTGTCCAGACACCGCCTGGCCAGGTCCTGCAAGGGAGCACAGCGGCTGGAGCAGCTAGCAGCCACACCAACTGAACACACACTGAACAAACTAGCCAACCACCTCAATAAGAAGAAAATGTTGAAGTTCAGAAAGACAGAAACGTGAAACTCCGGAGCCTCTGTGCGGACCAGCCTCCAGTCAAATTCAGCACCCAGCCCTAGCTGTGAGCACAAGAACACAAGGCACACCGCTGCCGCAGGCCCGGTGGACAGGGTGGAACAGCATCTCCACACCCAGCCCCTGCACATGTGCGACACAGGCTTCCACCCCAAATCAACCGCAAGCCCACACCCTCCTTGCTCCAGTATCATCAGGAAGTTTTCTGTCCCATAAGTCTGCTGTGAAGACAGTCTGAGAGCAGAGCTCCGCACATCCACCCTTACCCTTCGGCTCTTCTCCCCATCGGACATTTTCGCTCTGTCCCTCTGCGGCCATGTCCTGCCCTCCGGCCGACAGAGCTGCTTCTTCACAGCCGGGCGGAGACAACTGGAGTCGTTGTCCGTTTCTGTCCCTTTATTAGATAGTAACCTGACCTTTTTTATCCTGTTTTTTAAAAAAAAATTAGAAACGTTGTTAACAACTTTTCTGAGTATCACCTACCATGAAATCACTTTCTTCTGAAGAGCACAATCCAGCATGCTGGAAACAAAATTCAGAAATTGTGTTTTTCAGGTCGTTAGCTTGCTGAGAGTATAGGACAGACCCTCCATGCAGACTACTCATGACGGCAGAGGCCATTAGCCAGAACAAGCTCGCTGTAGCTCACTCTATGCAGTCAGTTCACTACTTTCCCAGCATCCACTCCAACCCAAGGCCAACCCAAGACCTCTCGTCCCCCTCATAAATACCACCTGGGCGGCCAAGCCCAGAGCCTTCCAGTCCCATTATCCCTCCAGCTACATGGTCACGTAACTGCTGGCTGAGGGTCAGCATGTGAGCCAGGTAAAGCACTATGCCTGCCATTCTTCTCTCCTGGCTACATGGGAGAAGCCTGGAACACAAGGAATCGACACTCTACACAAGGGCAAAGATGAAGATCTGAACACACTTCATCTTAGACAAAGTAACTGCAGAAGAGTGTGGCTGTGTCCAGGCGTGGCCCTCGTGAGCCTGTGCAGTGCATGGAAGCTCTGCCTCAAGGAGGAAGCCGGCGTGGCCGCACCAGCTGCCTTCCCCACTACAGCAGGAGGCAATAGCGTCCCGATCCTTATCATAACCGATGACAAGGGCTGGAGGTGCGGTCCAGCGGTGGAGTGCCTGCCTGGTCAGCCTGAGGCATGGGACAAACAATCAGCCCCTCCGAGTCACCTCACAGGTCCCACCCGCAGGGTCCCAGAGCAGCCAGGTAGGAATCCAGTCCATTCGCCTGCCCATCCCACAGCCCATCCACCCTTTACTGCCTGACACAGCCTAAAGTATCTGTGCTTTGTGATCTTGTGGCCTAAAAGCATTAAAATCAAACAGACCAGACGTGATGGTAGAGCAGGGTGTTCACAGGTGACCTGGCCCCCGCGAGCCAATTTGTTGGCAAATCTTTCTAGAACTATCACTCTCCAGTCATGTGCACCGCACACACTCCGACGGTGGGGTCCTGCTGTGCATCCAGAAACGTGAGTGTCAGATCTCAGACCCCTACCTGTTCCCAAAGAGTGTCCCCCAGAAGCTGGCGGCCCTGCGGGGCGCCGGGGCCAGCGCCTCAGCCCCCTTCATCTTGTCAGAGGCTGTGCCGCTGTGTTCTCGGCTCCCATCACCATTTATAGTTTTCCGTAATTTTCTACAAAAGAAGATTTCAGTAACTTCAGACTAGTCAGAATCTTTTTTTATTTCTGTCCATAATTTCCCCCCAGAAAACTGTACTAATAGATTATTTCCTAAAGTCAGGGGCAATTAACAATTACACAAAAACATTTCCGATTAAAGAACTAAAAAGAGAAAAGACAGCCCTGCTATTATTTTGCTCATTCTCATAATAGACAGCACTGCTATCCAGAAATAAGAATAGAAAACATTCTCGCTCACATAACCCTCACTCCACACCAGGAGAGACTATCTATTCAAGCACCCTTTGCACATTTAATCAGCACAGAAGTCTCTTGACAGCCTGTGCAGCCAAATGACATATCCTACAGATAAGTGAGACAACGCACAGTACCATATTTCCTTAGAAAATATTAAGTCAATTTAATTGAATTTACAAGGAATCTTCAGAGTTCTGAAAAATAACATTTAAAAATAAGTACAGGGCTGGGAAGATGGCTCAGTGGTAGAATGCCTAGCATGCATGAAACCCTCAGTTCGATTCCTCAGTACCACATACACAGAAAAAGTGGGTAGTGGCACTGTGGCTCAAGTGGTAGAACTCTATCTTTGAGCACAGAAAGGTTCAGGTTCAAAGCCGAGGCCCTGAGTTTAAGCCTCAGAACTGGCAAAAAAAAAAAGTATATTGAAATTCATTGCACTAAATTGAAAATTTAGTAATATTAGAGAAGTAAAACTCTAGAGATACTCTAAGGAGAGATAATACTAACTTTGGAAGCTAATACTAAAATACCTAAGAAATTTTCAGCAGTTCAAAAATCTGCATATACCACATAATTTAAAAAACTTGACATGAATTCAATGTGTGAAAATGTCCTGTCCATCTTGATTAAAAGTTTAGACCACTTAGAAATCAATCATACACTTTAAAAAAATGTAAATTCAGTCAGGCACTAGTGGTTCACACCTAAAATCCTCCCAACCCAGGAGACTGAGATCTAAGGGTCACAGTTGAAGCCAGCCTGGGCAGGAAAGTCTGTAAGGTTCTTATCTCCAACAAACCACCAAAATCCCAGAAGTAGAACTGTGACTCAAGTGATCGAGTATCTTGAGCAAAACAGCTAGGACAGCACCCAAGCCCTGAGTGCAAGCTCGACTGCCACACACAAAAAACATAAAATTTGATAGTGCCAATCCAATGTATGTTAATAGTGAATTTCAAGATATTTGGACTAAACTGAAGTTCAAGGAAAATGCTTATACTGGCCTGTCATCCTAGCTACTCAGGAGGCCGCAAGCTACGGATCATCATTCAAAGCCAGCCCAGGCAGGAAAGTCTGTGAGACTTTTATCTCCAATCACCAAAAAGCTGGAAATGGAGCTGTAGCTAAGTGACAGAGTGCCAGCCTTGAGTAGACAAGCAAGCGTGGGAGGCCCTGAGTATGAACTCAATACTGGCACCCACACGAATGCACACAGATGCACACATGCACCCATCTGTGCACACACGCGCTCGCGCACACATGCATCCTTGTTAGTAGTGTCTCTGCTCACCTCCGCCTGCGGTTGCCGTTGTTCCCTGGAGGCCGTGTGACCTGGGAGGACACGATCTGGCAGTGCACGGTCCCCATGAGCAGCATGAGGCACAAGGGCCCCAGCACCTCGCTCACATTCACAATGGGCATCATGAGGTACAACACCACTGCCATGACTGGAGAAGAGAGGTAGAGCTCATCTTTAAAACCACTCTATAATGATACACTTTGTTCCTGCCATCTATCATTTTAAAAAGAGTAAGCAATTCATAGGAACTAAGAGAAGATGGAAGCAATGTTGCCATATCGGTGCAAGATGACAGATGAAAGCCCATGCCCTCCTGGTCCTGGGACGACCAGGCATCCCAAGAACATCCCAGGTCTCCCACGGGGAGGTGCCATGCTCCCGAGCAGTACACGCAAACGTGTTCAGAGGCGCAGCACCCCGTTCTCCACGAGGATGCCAGGGCCCACCACTGCTGCCTGGGATGCAGAGTGCACCCCAGACGCCTGACCCATTTGCCCAGCTGCTGCTAAAGACAGCACGGTCCACAGCCAACTCTGGCGGCATGCTCCCAGGAAGTACAGTCACCCTCCTCTTGCTTTTAAGAATTGCTTGCTTTTAGGAGGCAGATTTTCATAAAATTAAAGGCAGGGAAATGAACACTCAGCCAGATCAAGCATTCAAAAAGCCTTAAAACACTTCAAGCAGAAAAAAAAAAGCTCTGTGGGGAACAGGAAAAAGACTGTCTTCGGGCAGGGAAGGTGGCTCAGTGGTAGAGAGCTCGCCTTGCATACATGAAGCCCTGGGTTCATTCCTCAGTACCACATACACAGAAAAAGCCAGAAGTAGCACTGTGGCTCAAGTGGCAGAGCACTAGCCTTGAGCTGAAGAGCTGAGGGACAGCGCCCAGGCCCAGAGTTCAAGCCGCAGGACTTGGGGAAAAAAACAAGACTGTCTTAGAGTGAGCATGGAGGAGGAAGAGGAGACATTAGGGAGAGACGCAGGAGGGAGCAGGAACAAGCCGCCAGGGGCATCGAGGCTATGAGATGAGATGTTCATTCTAAAGCCACTTTTAAAACATTTCTTTTGTCAAGCACCTATAATCCTAGCTTCTCAAGAGGCTGAGATCTTGGGGTCATGATTCAAAGCCAGACCAAGCAGGAAAAACTGACTTTTATCTCTAACTACCAAGAAGCCAGAAGTGCTAATGGACACACTCAGACCCCAGTTCAAGCCCCAGTATTGGCTCCATAAATAACAAAACACTTCTCCCTTTGTTGTGAGAGGAAGGATGATGGGGGAGAGAGATGTTACCCAGTGGGGATGACTAGAGCTGTGGCCATGCTAGTGGCTGCTAAGACACACTTTGTGGCAGGGGGGGGTGACAGCTGACGACAGGCAAAGAGTGAAAGAGACAATGTACAAAAACATCAAACTGAGATTTCTAAGTAGGGCAACGGCAGCTTACCAGCTTCTCTAGAGGCTGGCTCTGAGCATCATGGCTCAAAGCCAGCCCAGAAAGACTATGGGACTGTTATCACTACGGAATCACTAAAAGGTCGTAAGTGGAGCTGTGGCTCAAATGGTACAGCACCAGCCTTGAGTGAAAAAGCTAAAAGATATCACCAGGCCCTGAGTTCAAGCCCCAGTTAACACCCTCCCAAAACAAGATTAAAAAATAATAATAATGATCCAGGCACCAGTGGCTCAGGTCTGTAATCCTAGCTATTCAAGAGGCTGAGATCTGAGGATCAAGGTTCAAAGCCAGCCCAGGTCTTATCTCCAATTAACCACCAGAAAACTGGAAGTGGCACTGTAGCTTAAGTGGTAGAGCACTCGCCTTGAGCTGAAGAGCGGAGGAACAGCGCCCAGGCCCAGAGTGCAAGCCCCACAACCGACAAGAAAAAAAAAAATGGTTATTCTTCCTTTTATTAATTCCGTTTATTATGTGGTATCAAGGAATCGAACCCAGGGCCCCATACGTGCTAGGCAAACACTCTACCACTAAGCCACATTCCCTGCCCCCCCCCAAAAAAAAAGTCTTAAAATGATGAAGTTCAACACATCTAGTAAGGTACACATGGAAATGTCAGGTGGGCAGACTTGCAAGGCTGAAGTTCGGCAGAGGAAGCGCGCCTGAAGTACAAGCATGGGAGCCAGCAGTCTATGCAGAAATAAGGCTTATTTTTGCTCATGTAGTACTGAGGATTTGAACCCAGGACCTCATGTATGCTAAGCATACACTCTAACATTAAGCCAATTCCCAGCCCCCCAAGAAATGAGGTTTGAAAAGAGAACATTAGTCAAGAGAAGAGAACCCAGGTTCTAGTCCTGGAGTAACCCAGTACACAGAGGGCAGGTGGGGGTGGGGGAGGGAGAGGAAGAGAGAGATGGAAGAAGGTGCGGGAAGAGAGCTAGATGAACATGTCGGCACCTCAGAGCAAATAGTTTTAAGGTGATCCCAAATGGTCAACATGCTTTCACTCCTTTGTACTTTGGGCCAGGGGACAAAGGGTAAACCATCAGTCTTCACTGTCCCGTAGCAAAAGCTGCAATGAGACACAGCCACTGCAAGCCACAAGTCACAGGTACCTTGCATGAGGTAAAGCAGGAGCAGCCACACGAAGATCCTCAGAGAGGTGACCTGAATCCACCAGCTGCTGAAGAGTGGGAAGAGAGCCACCCGCACCAGGCCCTTCCGTGTCAGCGACGGCCAGGGCGCCTCCGGCCGGGCCTTGGCAAACGTGGAGCCTGCGACGGCAAGGGGCATTTACACACGCTAGTTATATACAACACCTGATCTGCTCACGCACACCATCTGTTAACACACTGCACCTGTGTACACAGGCGCTCCACTTACACACATCCCTCTATACGCGCTCTCCGTTTACACGTTATTTATATGTGCTATCCATTCACTCACACTCTCTATTCACACATACTACCTATTCATAAACATTATTCACACATTATCCCATTCACTCACACTATCTATTCACATGCTACTATGCTTTTTACACATGCCATGTACTTACACACATTTTCACAAGCTATTAGTTACACATACCATCTATATACACAAATTATCTATTTGTACACATTATCGATTTGCACACACCATCTGCCTGCACACACTCCATTACATGGATGGGCACTGTAAGCAAGTCCTCTTCAATGGCAAGAACTCAAGGAAGTCAGGCAGTCAACAATCAATATGCACTTTTCACTAGACCTGTGTCTGCAGGTGCATCACATTCAAATCTATGAAAACCTTGTCATTTATGTCACTGGCAGTACTGAGACGTTAGCTGTGAAAGCTACCCTCCTGGCACATGTGCACAACACCAAAACATAACAGTGCCGCTGTGACACAGATATATCCACAAGAAACCAACCAGCCGTAGAGCTCACCTCTGATTAAGTCCACATCAATCAAGTCTGGTTTTATGTGACCCATCTTTTTTGGTTTATTTTTGAAGCCCTAGGATAAAACAAATGAAAAAAGCAGTTCTTTCAAATGCTCCCCCTCCTCTACCTCCTACCTGCCCCCCAACCCTGACAGGGGCAAGTCTCACTATGTAGCCCAGATTGGCCTAGAACTTAAGATCTTCTTAACAGTCTCTGACTGTTGAGATTACAGAATGGCACAGTCATGCCTGAAATATATGTTTTTTTTACAAGTGACATTTTAATCCTAATGCTCTTTAAAAGATAGTATCATTAATTTTAGTCTTATCATGTAATAAAAGCATATACTTTATCATTGTGTGTGTGTGTGCATGCACACGGGTGTGCATGGTGCATGCCTGGGGCTTTCACTCAGAGCCTGTCCCTGAGCTTGTGAGCTCCAGGCTGGCACTCTGGTGCTTTACCACTTGGGCTACAGCACCATGTCTGGCTTCTTACTAGTTAGCTGGAGGTAAGTGTCCCACGGATTTTCCTGCCTGGACTGGTTTTGAACCATGATCCTCAGACCTCAGCCTCCTGAGCAGCTGGGATGACAAGGTGAGCCTGACAGATCACTTCATCACTTTTTAAAATAAGTCAAAGCCAGAGATCCAAAAGTGGTCAATAAGCCACCACTGCTTCTCTCCTCCCAACTTCAGTCCTCACAGGTGAAGTGAGGTAACTGGAGAGGGTGAGGGGAACAGGGCCCGGTCCAGAAGGAAATGCACTCATTACCTGACTCATGTAACTCTAACCCCGCTGTACATCACCTTTATAGTAACAATAAAAAAAATTTAAAAAGCAAAAGATGTTGATCTTTTTGGCTGTTTCTATGTATTTTACTTCTATACTTCTAAACAATATACCTATACTATTCCTTTTTTTAATTTCAGTGCTGCACCTTTGCAAGGCAGACATTCTACCACTTTTCTTCAATTAGTGTGGGGGGCTTGAACTAGTCTAGGCCTGGGCACTGTCCCTCAGCTCTTCAGCTCAAGGCGAGCACTCTACCATTTGAGCCACGCACCACTTCTGGTTTTCTGGTGGTTAATTGGAGATAAGAGTCTCAAGGACTTACCTGCGCAGGTTGGCTTTGAACCGCGATCCTCAGATCTCAGCCTTCTGAGTAGCTAGGATTGCAGGCGTGAGCCACGGGCACCGGCTCCACTGCTTTTTTTTTTTTCCAGTACTGGGATTTGAACTTGGGCCACCTTGCCCAAACTACTTGGGGGTAGGGCCTCCTGTTTATCTAGGGCTGGCCAGGACCATGATCCTATATGTGCCTCCACACAGCGTGGAGGACAGGCATTAATACCAGGCCCAGTTCTTGTTCTGGAGAGGTCTCATTTCCTTTTTCTAGGCTGATCTCCAACAGTAATTCTGATCCCTGCCTCCCACACCCACCTATTCTTTTATTCATTAATTTTAGAAATCATTTGTTGACGTACATTGTGAGAATATAGTTGTTAACCCACGAACCCTCCTCTCCTAGCTGCCATCCAGACACTACACACACACACACACACACACACACACACACACACATCCCGCACGCACATGCACGTAATGCTGTCGACCGAGTTTGTGCTTGCATGTGTAGCACACTCCCAGCTCTGGCTTGACTTCCTGTTTAAGACCAAAATACTTCCTATTAAAACTGGAAGAAGTACTAGAAAATTATCCACACTTGAAGCAATGTCAGAACTAAGGTTTTAAACTCCTGCTACCACCAGAAGAGCTCTCTCCAGTCTTGTACCTCCTGCCCCCTCCAAATGTCCTTCTAGCAGCTTTCCGAAAAGCAACCACAAAGTCAAGTACGTAAGTCCCAGCCTGCCTGAAATAATCCTTTTACCTTACACCGGACTGAAAGCTGCCCTGGATGTATGAGAAGCTGTGGGTGCTTTTCTCTCAGGAATGCAGTCTCCTAATGTTGTGCCCCAGCACAGAACACAGTTTCCCTCCTCAGAGCCCTGACCTTATTCATGGTATTCAGAAATTCCATGAGGAAGTGAAGTGTCTTCATTGCATCTGTGTTAAGAATCCCTCCAAAGGGGGCTGGGAAGGTGGCTCAGTGGTGGAGCGCTTGCCTTGCATGCATGAGGCCCTAGGTTCGATTTCTCAGCACCACATAAGCAGAAAAGGCTGGCAGTGCCTCTGTGGCTCAAGTGTTAGAGCGCTAGCCTTGAGCTGAAGAGCTGAGGGACAGCACCCAGGCCCAGAGTTCAAGTCCCCATGACCACAAAAAAAAAATCCTTCCAAATGAAAATATCTTTCAGTTTAGAAAAACTGTCTTCTCAAAAACAAAAACGGAAGTGGCACTGTGGCTCAAGTGGTAGAGCGCTAGCCTTGATCTGAAGAGCTGAGGGACAGTGCCCAGGCCCAGAGTTCAGGCCCCACGACCGGACCAAAAAAAAAAAAGAAAAACTGTCTTCTAATTTATTTTTATATTTCCTCCCTCAAGATGTTTTCTTTTCTTTTCTTTCTTTTCCCCTTCCTGTTGAACAATTCCTCCAAATATCTAGACTCACCTTTTGCTTCAGTTATTTTTCAGACAGGCTCAGGTGCTTTTGCCCAGGTCTGACCTGGACCATGATGCTATTTATGCCTCCAATCATTCAGATTATAGGTATAAACTAGTGCACCCAGTTCATCCACATTGTGCTAACACAATCTGCAGCCATTTTTTTTACTTTACTTTATTCAGAGGTGATATATAGTGGAGTTACCTTTATATATGTCAGGTAGTAAGTACATTTCCTTCCTTTTGCATAGTATCACCGGTTACCTTGTTCCCTCTCATTCCTTCCTCCCATCTCCGCCTATGAGTTGTGGCTCATGTTCCTCAATGTCCAGTGAAGCCAGCAGGCTGTGCTGCTGGACTTGTTCACCTGCTTTCCAGTGATTCTGTGCCCTCCCCCACCTTCCCTCAGATGTACACTGTACACACCGTATATGAGGCAAAGAATACACAGCACTCAGAAAACAAAAGGACAAAGTAAGAAAAAGTCCTTTGTTTCCTTATCTTTGGAGTTTCAGTCTGTATATAATTTATATACATATATATATATATATATATATATATATATATATATATATACACACACACACACACACACAAAGAAGCGCCTGGGTATTACAACGTGGATACTTTCTCCTAAGATTATCCTCTTTTGGTCTCACTGTATACAGTGTCTTGAGTCCTACATAACTGGCCATATCCCACTGCATTTTAAATCTCACTTCCAAGTATCAGAGAGAACATGCACTGTTTGTCTTTCTGTTCTTGGCTTACCTCTCTCAACATGATTTGTTCTAGTTCCATCCATTTCCCTGTGAATGACATTATTCTACCCTTTCTAATGGTTGTGTAAAATTCCATCGTATATAGGTACCACATTTTGTCTTTTGATCCACTTATCTCTTGTGGTGCATCTGGGCTGTTTCCATCCTTGGCTGTTGTGAGCAGTGCAGCAGTGAACATGGAACATGGGTGTGTAGGTGTCCTTGTCGTATCCTGGCTGGTGATGCTCAGGGTAGCTGCCCAGGCGTGGTACGGCTGGGTCATGGGGAGGTCTGTGTTTACTTTCTTGAGGAACCTCCAGACTGCCGTCCAGAGCGGCTGTACTAGCTTACATTCCCACCAGCAGTTCAGTAGGCTTCTTTTTTTTTTTGGGGGGGGGGATCCGGTCATGGGGCCTGAACTCTGGTCCTGGGCACTGTCCCTCAGCTCTTCAGCTCAAGGCTAGTGCTCTACCACTTGCGCCACAGTGCCACTTCTGGCTTTTTTCTTTTTGCTTATGTGGGGCTGAGGAATCGAACCCAGGGCCTCATGCATGCAAGGCAAGCACTCTACCACTGAGCCACCTTCCCAGCCCCAGTAGGCTCCCTTTTCCCCACATTCCCACTAGCACTGTTGTTCCAATTCAGAATGTTGGCCATCTGAGAGATGGACCCTCTCAGAGTTGTTTCCATTTGCATTTCCAGAGTGGCCAGGGGTGACGAGCATTTCCTCGTGTTTCTTTGCCATTCTCACCTCTTCTTCTGAGAAGTCTCTCCTTAGCTCCCTCACCCAGGTAGTGATTGGTGTATTAGATTTGGGAGGGGTTGGTTTCTTGGGTTCCCTGTATATAGTGGATTTTAGGTCTTTGTCTGATGTGTTGCTAGTAAATATCTTTTCCCAACTGGTTGGCTGTCTTTCTAGTTGAGCAGCTATGTCTTTAGCTGTACAGAAACCTTTTATTATCATGTAGTCCCATTTGTCTGCAAATCTTTTAAAAAGATAGACCCAAAACAAGAGTCTGATGGCATTTATGAGCATGTCTACAGAAATCTATAGGAGATCCAGGCTGGTCTTAAGACTCTCTACCATTAGCTACCAAGCAACCACTCAGTGACCAGTGCGTACAAGCACTCCACGATCACCATGTACCAGCACCCCAGGACCACCACGCAGGAACACTCCATGACCACCCTGCCCAAGCAGTCCCTGACCACTGCACGGACCAGCACTCCGTGACTACTCTGCATGAGCACAAGCACTTCTGAACTCCACACACAGACTCTGAACTATTAGAAAATCATCAAACTCTTTCCTCCCCTATATTAGTGAAGACATTCTGAATTATACACCAGCTTTTGATTGCTTGGTTAGCATGAAATAACCAAAAAATCTAAAAGCAGTGTATTTTTATACAATTTGAAAAACTTTAAAAAAAAAAACAGACTTAAAAAACAAGGGCCCACAAGTTGGTTCCAGGCCAAAAATGAATTTTGTTTGCTTGGACAGTGAAGATGATGAGGAAGAAGATGCAGGACAAAGAGGACTAATAGAGAAGGAAGAAGACAACTACACTGTTAAAAATGGATTTCTGAGGCTGCTATAATCCCAGCAATTCAGGAAGCTACAATCAGGGAAGATCAGTAGGTGACAGGTCTGGGTTGGGCAAGAAGTCAACTAATAGAAAGCCAGGTGTGTGAGACTCCATCTCCAAAATAACAAGCTAAAGGTCAGGCTGGGTGGAGGAGCAGAGCACCTATCAACCATGCAAGCACAAGACCTTGTGTTCAAACTCCAATACACACCAAAAAAAGCAAGCTGGGATGGTGGCACACTCTAGTCTGACATGGTGTCCAGCCACATGAGCAGTGGAAATAGTTATGATCACCTGTCCAGGTTGGCCCAGGCATAATAGTGAGACTTTATTTCAAAACTAATCAGAGCACAAAAGGGTTGGGGTGCAGCTCAAAGGACAGAGCAAATCCCTGAAGCCCAGGGCAGTATGACAACAGCTTCTCCTGAGTAATCTAAAACCTTGGGAAAACTGTATCTCAACGGTCATATGGTGACAAGTGAGCAAAGCTAAGAAGCCATGACCCCATTTATACAGGCCACTTCCTGCCAAGGTCCTGTACCACCTGCCATTTATACAGACCACTTCTTCCCGATGTCCCATAACACCTGCCATTTTTACAGGCCACTTCCTGCCAAGGTCCCATACTACCTGCCATTTATACAGGCCACTTCCTGGCGAGGTCCCCTACCACCTGCCATTTATACAGGCCACTTCCTGCCAAGGTCCCGTACTACTTGCCATCTATACAGGTCACTTCCTGCCGAGGTCCCCTACCACCTACCATTTTTACAGACCAAGGTCCTGGTACCAACTGCCATTTTTACAGGCCACTTCCTGCTGAGGTCCTGTACCACCTGCCATTTATACAGGCTATTTCCTACCAAGGTCCTGTACCACCTGCCATTTATACAGGCTGCTTCATACTGAAGTACCATACCACCTGCCCTTTATCATGGTGCGTGTACTGGTCCTTTTAGAAACCTGAAATAATAAAGAAGGCCATGCTTGCTGGAGAACTACAGTTTTTGGTTTTTCCAAATACCACCAATGCAATAAAACAAAGCTAGAATTAAAGAAACCAATTTACCTTAATCTGAGTCTGTTCGATTGACTTTTCCCATATCTGTTGATCATATGCTCCAATCTGCAATAAGGAGCAGGCTATTAAAGGAATGCAAAGATGACCCTTATATTTAAGTCATGAATCTACAAGAACAGGCTATCTGGGAAATGTGCTTCTCTGAATTATTTTAAAAAAATATTTCTAAAGTCTGTTTCCTTTTTTTGTCGGTCATGGGCCTGAACTCTGGGCCTGGGTGCTGTCCCTCAGCTCTTCAGCTCAAGGCTAGTGCTCTACCACTTGAGCCACAGCACCACTTCTGGCTTTTTCTGCTTATGTGGTGCTGAGGAATCGAACCCAGGGCCTTATGCATGCAAGGCAAGCACTCTACCCCTGAGCCACCTACCCAGCCCATCTGTCTCCTTTTAAAAAAACATCTAAAGTATCCCAAATTATCTCAAATCAAGTATTATCTTGAGATATTTCCACTCCAAAAGAAAACATCAACAGAAATACTAAAGAAGAATAAAATTATGGGATGGTTCAATCTGATGACAGCAGCAATCTGAACTATGTGGATAAGGACATCATTAATGTAAAAACAAACAAAAACAAAAACCTATAAGTTTGTGCAGAAGCAGATATTCAGAGAGCTGGAGAAGATCTGAAAATCTTATCCTGAGACGTGGGGCTGGGTTTACAACGACCATGCCCATCTAAATTTCCACTTATGATGAGAGAGCACACTAAGAATATGTGGCATCTCCAGACAGAGGGGAAGCATTTTTCTCTAGGAGAGTTTTTCTCTACAAGAAGCATGCTTTCCAAATAAATGTGGCTTGGCAATACCTTCTTCTGATACCATGATATAGCATCTCTCTCATTTGAGGCCATCTGGGTCTCCAGCCAGAGAGCGGGATCTCACTGAAAAGGAAGAAAACACATGGGTGAGGCCAGGACTGCAGACTAGCACCCAGACGGCTCATGGATTTGGCAGGCTCTCTCTCTCTGGCTGTGGGCCTGAGAAGCTGCTGCGGTGCAAGGTTTGAGCAGCAAGGGGATGGATGGTGAGAGGAAGGACGGAGAGGAGGGGAGGGATGGGGAGAAAAAGGAGGGGAGAGGAGAGAGGAAGACCTCAGGAGAGGAAAGGAGGGGAGAGGAAAGGAGGAGGGAGAGGAGAGAGGGGAGGGGAGAGGAGAAGAAAGGAGAAGAGGAGAGGGGAGGG